GTTTTTAATATATCAAGATTTAATAATGTGAATTAAATATAAGTTCTACTATTTAATTTATTAAAAATTAAAAAAACAGATAATGAACTTTTATATTTAACTTTCATTACTATATCTCAAGATATTAAAATTGTACAAAAATTTTTATTTTAATAATTTTTATATATAATCTCTTTAAAACTTAATATTTAAGATTTAGTAATAAAAATTAAATTAAAGTTTATTATTTAATTCTTTAAGTTTTGATAAATTAAATAGTAAATCTTATACTTAATTTTTATTACTAGATTTTAATATAATAAAATTTAAAAAGATTATATATAAAAATTATCAAAATAAAAATTTTTTGTATAATTCTAATATCTTGAGATATTAAATTTTAAAAAGATTATATAAAAAAATATTTTTTAAAAAATAAATTAGTATAAATCAATGCAAAAAGATTTATATCTCAGATAAATATTAATACATTATTTTTTCAAAATAAAATTTTAATTTTGTCTTATTTAATTAAGTTATTAAATATTGAAATTTAAAAATTTTTATTATATATATTTTATAAAAAAATTTTTACTAATAATAACTTTTTTAATTATTATTTCTTAAATTTTACTATATAAAACTTAATTAAAATTAATATAAAAATTATATAGTAAATAATTTATTTGCTCAACTTTGAATTTTAATATCTTTATAATTACTAATTCAATTTTTATAAAATTTAAAATATATATTTATCAAATCTAGAGCAATCTGCTTGCATAATTTAAAGTTTTAATATTACAAATTTATAATAATAATATTTAAAAATCTTTTTTTTTAAAAAAATAATTTATTTTAGTTTTTTTTAGCAAAATAATACTTTATTTATTATTGAATTAACATATAATAAAATAGTTTAAATAATATAAAAAGTTAATTTAGATTATTCTTTATTTAATATAAAAAACTATAAAAATTATTTAAAATTTGAATAATTTGAATTAGAAATAATTATTAATTTTTATATTAAAATATAAATCTTTTTATACTAATCTATAATATAATTAATATTTTATTTAATAATATAAATATTCTAAAAATAATTTAAATTATTTTAGATATTTTAAATATTAAACAAATTATTTTAAAATAATTTAAATTTTAATTTAATTTAGAATATATATTTTTTTATTTTTATATAAATTATTTATAAAGTAAATTAATTTTTAATATAATAAACTTTATAATTATATTAAAAAGTTAAATTTATTAATAAAATTAAACTTTTAATTTTATAATTATAAAAATTATTATATTATATATTATTAATATTTAATAATAAAAATATAATTATTTTTTAATTAAATAATACTAATTTAAAAATAAGTTTCAACATTAAATAATTATAATTTTTATTTATAATTGATAAATATTAATAATATTAAATTTAAAAATAAAATATAGTTAATATTAAATAATATTTAAAATAATAATTAATAAGTAATAAAAATTAATTAATTTTTTATAATTAAATAGTTTTCTAAATAAAATTAAAAATTATATATTATTTTAAAATAAAAAAATAAATTATAAATCAAAAATAAAATTTATTTATTAATAAAATTAAAATTAATAAATAATATAAATAATAAAATTTTAAGTATTTTATATTTTAATTAATTTTTTAATATATAAATTATTTAGAATTTTAATTAAATAAAAATTTAATAGAATAAATTACTTTAAAATTCATATATAGTAATAATTAAAAAAAATATAATACTAAAATTTTTTGCTAATTATAATTAATAAAATATTTATTATTTATTATATATAAAGTCTTTAATTTTATTAATAAATATTTAATTTAAAAATTAATTAGAACTTTTTAGTTTAGTATATATTTTTTCTGAATTTTTTTCAGAATAACTTGTTTTATTTATAAATAAAAATAATTAAATTTTATTAATTATTAATTAATAAAAATTAATTATTTTTATTTATAATAAAACAAGTTATCCAATAATAAATCAGAAAAAATATATATTATATTAAAGAATTTAATTATTTTTTAAGTAAAATAAAAATATTTATTAGTAAAATTAAATATTTTTATATATAAAAAAATATATATTTTATTAATTATAATTAATAAATAATTTAAGTATTATATTAATTATAATATATAATTTTAAATATTTAATAAAAGTAATTATATAATTTTTATTTTAAAGTTTTATATATAATAAATATTTTTAACTTATTTTTAAATTAATATTTATAAATTTTTTTGTAAATTTAAATTAAAGTTTATAAAATTTTTAAAAATTTAATTTTTTTAAATTAATAATAAAAAAATATAATTAAAATTTTTTATATAAAATTTTTTTTATATTTAAAATATATAAATATAATTCTTGAATAATTTTAGATAATAAATTATTATTAATTAAATTTTATAAATATTTAAATATTTAAATAATATTTTGAATTAATTCAAAAGCTAACTTGAAAATATATATAAAATTATATTTTAAAAATAATATTAATATCTTTAATAAGTAATTTTAAGTAAATTTTATATATATATTAATTTTATTAATAAAATATAATAAAAATTAAAATTTTCTCTTTATATTAAACTTTATAATTTTATTAAGAAATAATTTTTATTTTTATATTAAAATATAATTTATAACTTATATAAATAACTAAAAATAATATATTAAAAACTAATAAATATAATAAAAATTAAAATATTCTCTTTATATTAAAATTTATAATTTTATTAAAAAAATAATTTTTAGTTTATTTATTATAGTTTAATATATATATTTTTTATTTTTTTTTAGAATTATTTTAAATATGAAGTATATATAAAAATTTTTATTAATTAAAAATAAAATTTAATTAATTAATAAAATTTTTTATATTGATTTATAATTAGAATAATTTTTAAAAAACTAAAAAAATATATATTAATCTATAATTAATAAATTTTAAAATTATAAATTTCAATATAGAAAAAAATTTTGATTTTATTTTATTTTATTAATAAATATAGTCTTAATATATTATTTTTGATTACTATTATATAAGAATAATATATATTTTATTAATTATAATTAGTAAAAAATATAAGTATATATTAATTTATAATTATTATTATAATTTAATAAAAAATCTCAAATAATATTTTTTAAAAAATAATAAATAGCTTATAATATAATTTTACTAGTAATAAATCTTTTCTTTTTATATAAGATATTTAATTTTAATATTTAATAAAAATAATTATATAATTTTTTATTTTTAAAATTTTATCTATATAAAATATTTTTGATTTTCTTTTTTTTCTAAATTATTTTTAAGTTTTTAATTAAAGTTTATAAGAATTTTAAAAATTTAATTTTTTAAATTAATAATAAAAAAATTTTTAAAAATTATTTTAATAAATAATTTTAATAAATTTTATTTTATAATAAAGAAAAATATAATTAAAATTTTTTTTATATAATATTTTATAAAATTTATATATATAAATTTAATTCTTAAATAATTTTAAATAGTTTAAATTAAAGATAGCTCCTCAACTATTATAATATAATAACAAATAAGTATTATTTAATTGCAACTAGTTATAACTTATAAAATTTTGTAGTTATAACATATTGCAACAGTTAATAAATAAGTATTATATATTTGTTACATTATCTCTAGTTTAGATAAAAAATTATTATTTATTTAATTTTTAAACTGATTTAAAAACTAACTTAAAATTTTATATAAAATTTTTAAATTATTTTTTTTAATTAGTTTTTGTTATTTAAAAAATTAATTTAAAATAATATTAATATTTTAATAATAATTCAAATAAATTTTTTATATATATTAAAATATATATATAATATTTCTTATAATTATGAAATCAAAAAGTTATTTTTATTATTAAAATATAATAAAAATTAAGTTTTTTTTATATTAAAATTTATAATTTTATTAAGAAATAATTTTTATTTTATATCAAATTAATGTTTCTAAATTATAATTTAATATATAATTTTTAGATTTATTTCTAAAAGAATTATTCTAATTATAAAATTAATATAAATATTTTTACTAATTAAAAATAAAATTAATTAATAAAAATTTTTATATTAACTTTATAATTAGAATATCTTTTTCAAAAAAAATCTAAAAAATATATTAAGCTAAAACTTATAAAATTTATTTTAATATAAAAATAAAAATTATTTCTTAATAAAATTATAAAGTTTAACATAAAGAAAAATTTTTAATTTTTATCATATTTTATTAATAAAATCAATCTCCTGATTTCATAATTATGAAAATCACTATATTTTAATAATATTTTCACAAAAAAAATTTAATATTTTGAATTTATAATATTAATTATTATAATAAGTTTTTAATTTTTCAATTTTTACTAATAAATATTTTTATTTTTAGCTCAAAATAAAGCTAGAGTTCTCTATTTTATATATATATATAAATCTATATTTTCTTTAATAGAATAATTCTTAGAAAAAGTCTGAAAAAATAATAAATTTTTATAAATAAAATTAAAATTCTAATATAAAGAAAAAGTTCTGTATTTTATTATAAATAAATTTGATTTTCTATTGTTTTTTTATTCTTATTATATATTATTCATTTTTAAATTCTTTTATCAAAATAAATTTGCAAAAATTAATATTATTAAAAAAATAATATAATAAGTATTTAACATTCCTATTAACATTTATGCAAAATGATGTTTAATAATCAAATATTATACGTATTGTATAAGTTTAAAAAGTCAAACACGAAAATAGACTTTATCATTAATGTGACACATTTGTTGCCTGCCACTTGAAGATAAACCAAGCGAATATTAATATCAGAAAAGCGGCAAACACTAATTGAAAGGAGCAAAATTCTTCAAAAAATGATATATGCCCAAAAATATGCCCAAAAATCCCAGATAAACTATATTAATTAATTTACCTGTTTTATATTTAACCAATAATTTCGCTGATCGTTTTTCCATTTCCATTCGTCTCTGCAATGTCGTCAACTATAAAAAGAGGCGTGTTAATCAACCGAACTTATAACTTGTATATAACCAACCAAAGCAAAAAGTTAAAATATACCAACCAGTTGTTGATGTAGTTTGAGTATATTGCCTTTATCGCGAATCCTATTTTTTATCATTTCCATTTTTTCGATAAGTCTGGCGGTTGTGTTGGAGGTCAACTCGATTGTCTCCTGCATGTCCCTGGTAGTTCGTTCTCGAGTTGATGTAATTGATTCTTCCAACTCCTAAAATTATTTATTATTTAAATATCATTTCTAGATGACCTATTAAATTGTCTTATCTGAAATCCAGCTTTACTAACCTTTATAAGTCGATTTAAGTCTCGGAATTTGTTAATATATGTATCTAACTCTCCTGCTTGTTTCCCAATTTTTTGCTACACATCAATAAAAGAATTTGTATCTAATGTAAAAAATTTAGGGATAGAAACTAAAATATCAATCATGAAAATAAACCTGTAACATGACAATCTTCTCTTCATAATCTGAGCACTCAATCCCCAACCTTTCAATGAGTTGGACCGAGTCCATTTCCATCTCCATGTTAAAGAAAATGAATTGACTATCGCTTGTTATCTTACTATAGTTTATTATTACTTTTGTGCCACATAATATTCCTTATCATAGGAGGTGGCGATGGTCGTCTTAACTGCATCAATACTAATGGCCAAGTCAAATATGTGGAGCTTTTCTATACATAAAAATTTTATTTATTTTAATATATACCCTTTATTTATCTAT